TATATATATATATATATATATATACATATATATATATATATATATATATATATATATATATATATATATATATATATATATAAGTAATATATATATATATACAAGTATATATATATATATATATATATATATATATATTGTATAAACATAGCTTCATTTGTCAGTAAGACTTTGTTTCTAATTCGTTTGCATATCTTCATGGAGATCATATATGTTATTAATGGGTAAGTGTAGTATATAACTTGGATTCACTTTTGCGAGATTTCGGGTATCTCGTTTCATATCCCTCTCGGACTGGTTGTAAATTACTCGAGAAAAAGCGTATCAGTACTACTCGATCAAAATTCGTAAAGCCTCGCTCCCGTTGGATACTTTTCCTTCGCACTAGCGCATTCGTATACAGTCACACGAACGTAGTTGCAATACCATACCGTACTGTCGCCCAGCGTTGGAGGTGAACCATCTGGCCTGCGCCACCTATGGGCTGACTCAGCGGGTGATCTGCTGAACGATATATAGCTATACTTCGTTGTATACACGTATACAACACACTGCGGCAAAATGATACATAGCTATACTTCGATGCATACACGCATACAACACACTACTGCAAAATGATGTATAGCTATACTTCCTTACATACACGCATACGACACACTGCTGCAAAAGGATGCATAGCTCTATTCGTTGCATACACGCATACAACACACTGCTGCAAAATGATGTATAGCTATACTTCGTTGCATACACGCATACGACACACTGCTGCAAAAGGATACATAGCTCTACTTCGTTGCATACACGCATACAACACACTGCTGCAAAATGATACATAGCTATACTTCGTTGCATACACGCATACAACACACTGCTGCAAAATGATGTATAGCTATACTTCGTTGCATACACGCATACAACACACTGCTGCAAAATGATACATAGCTATACTTCGTTGCATACACGCATACAACACACTGCTGCATAAGTCCTCAGTTCTATATATGTCTTGTGGAGAGTACGTCCAGGGGTGTGTGTTCTGACTGGAGGGCTTTCTTTGGTTGGTCGCAAACCCTAAACCCAGAAACGGCCGGTGCAGAACACATGGGCAAACGGAGCAACTCTCTGCCCCGCACACCCTCCGAGGTCAACGACGAACACAGAGACCTCTTGGGCCAAATGGATCGGCAGATGTCCTATTCCGAGAAAGACGGGACACGCACCGGGAGTCGGGCGTTTAGGGACGAGAAAGTGGTGCACCGAGACGGGGACAGACACAGCGTAGAGCCTGGGCGACGGAACAGCGGGTTTATGCGACAGAACTCCAATGGAACGGTTGATGAAGAAGACCATGCTACAGCCTTGGAGGTGGGCAATTCCCAGGCAGGCCTCACTAGAGACGTCTCTTACAAGGCAGCCAAGCGTAGCTATCGAGCGCAGGTGCGGGGTNCGTGTACGTTCACTGGTTAGTATATATATATATATATATATA